AAGGCCAAGTCAATGGCCAACAGTATTATAACTAATGTAAGTCCCGAGTGCTTCTTTGGAGCTTAGAAGGACTATGGGACCTGCGGGGACAAAGGAAACATCACAATAGGAAGCCTCACATGGATGGGTGCTCAGATCCTGGAGAGCAGACAGGATTGCAAAGAGGAAGCTGAGCCTGGTGGAAGATACCCATGATGTCTGATCTGGGAGCCTGGTTTTACAAGAAGACTAAGAATCATAGAAACTGGTCAAAGAATACACACATGTGCAGATGGAATATGATCAGCAGCTTCTTGACTGCTGAGCTGGCCTCATGCTCCTACTGTTGTATCTTTCCCACCACAGTGAACCATATCTTCTTAGGGACTGTCAGCCAAAGAAATGCTATTCTCTGAGTTGATTTTGTCAGGGTATTTTATTACCGCAATGGAAAAATCATCGAATCTGAGTATGTATAACCACTGATGCAGCTGTCAATATATAGGCCTCATGTTGGTATGATGGCATCCCAGTAGCGAAAACAAACAAAAACAAAGAATACACGATGCTCAGATATTACCTCTAAACCTTCTCCACTACAATGAAGCAGAGGACAGGGGCTGTAGCTCAGCTGGTGGGGTTGCTGACTGAGTATGCAATCAAACACTGTTTCACGTGGTGCACACCTATAATCACAGCTCGTAGGAAGTGGAAGCAGGGCAATCAGAAAGTCAAGGCCATTCTCAGCTCTAGAGAGCTCAACATCAACCTGGACTACATTAAACCCCCTCTTGGTAAGTAATTTAATGAATAAATAAATGTGGAAATAAGTAGCACACCTCAGTTTTAGGGGCATCCAGGGCAAAACAAAAATGAGCCTGAAACCTTTTATTCCACAAGACAGAAAAGTCCCAAGACGACGAGGATGTGCCAAGAAGACTGAAGTCAGCCTGGTGGGGACCCCTGGAGTTGCTCCTGTGATAGACACGGTTTAATGAGTATCAAATAAAATAGAAATATGGCACCATGTGCATGTAACTAGTAAAAGAAGTCAAAAGTTCAAAGACAGGATATACGTACGCCTAACCTTAAAGTTCCTTCCTACAAAGCAAGCATCGTCAACAAAGAAGCATGTAGTAATTTCACAGTGGCCAAGCTCAGTGGACTCAGACAGAGTTGAAGACTTTCCAGGTCTGTGGTCTCAATTCTTAACAAAGACGGAAACCTGAATCAGTTAACCAGAAGACATCAAATTCAAATGAAAAGACATTCACCTTCAGTGGGCCCTGTAATTTTTAAGAGTGCAACTGAGGGGGAATGTATTACTGTGTATGTTTATCTTATTGATTGTTAAATAAAATACTTTTCGGCCAATGAGACAGCAAGTTAGATGGCACTAGGAGTCAAAGAGGATTCTGGGAAATGTAGTAGAGAAGTGCTGATCCAGGCAGGAAGTGACATAGCAAGGAGACTCATATTTAAGCGAAGGAGAAACAGGAAGGGTCCCTTTTCCCCTCGCTCCTCCAGCAGCACAATGTGATCCACCGGCAAGGAGGGACGCCAATAAGGCGTCCGATAAGATAAGTCTTATAAAATATATAGATTTATGATAATTAAGGCCGAGCTAGCAGATGAGGAATCCTAGTCATTGGCCAAGCAGCTTTGAACCTAATACAAGTTTCTGTGTATTCATTTGGGCCCTAACTTGGGCGGGCAGCTGGCGTAAAGCGCACATGTGGCCGGGGGCTTGGCGGCTTTTGGCAGAAAGATTTATCGTAACATGCAACCACCATGAGCATCAAAGGGAGAGCGAGGGAGGCTTCAGACTGAAACACAGAGACTTGATAACACATTGCTGTAGACTTTCAGACACAGGCGGGTAAATTTTTATGGTTATCCAAGAGACAGGAACTGCGGAAAAAAGCACTGGGATGATGGGGCATCATATTGGTTAATGGATCAGTAACTTGCCTTTAAGTAGTTTAAGGAGAAAATAATTCTCTGTACTGAGCTGATGACTTACTGATAAGTCTGTAATTATTTCAAAATAAAGGTTATAACATGCACTGAGTGGTTATACTTTTAAGTTTCTCCTGTGTTAGACAGAAGTTTCTATAAATATCAATCATTAAATTTCCTCCATCATGAGGAATGATTTGAGGCAAATGGTGGCTAAATGAATTTCCTAAAAACATTTGACTCTGATATGCAGCACTGAAAAGGAGTGGTTTGTTCTTCTGTCAGTATTTCACTTAACAGACAAGTAAGACATGATCTCAGTAGATTCCCCAGGCCACAGACGCACCATAATAAAAAATTCTTAGTATGAATACAGGCTAAGCAGATTTTCTTTGACAGCTTAGAGGCAAAGCAGTACTGCCCTTGACATACAGACTTTCTTTACACTTGATCACTATCCTACATGGTACACACTATTGTTCTGAATACTACACCATAGTGATGTAACCAGCAGACATACAGCATTCTAACTTATTATAAGCGTTGTGAGTCAAAAGAATTCAAGGAAGTGTTTTTCTTTACCCCACTCCAGTGCTTTTTTTTTAGGTTTTATTTCCAGCAGTGGTCAAGAGTAATAAAACTCATTGCTGCATACTTGCTTACATATGAACCCTTCTTTTAAAATAACGTTTAACACACAGCATCCTCTTAAAACCCATCACTGTATTCTACCATTTTGGCTCTGGGAATCATAGAATTAATGAAGACTTTAGAAATGGATCATGAGGTCTTCTCTTCTGATTTTATCTTTATATGAAACACTGGAGCACTAAGCAATGTTAAAATCACACAATTCCATAATTATCTTACCTCTGGCTGCCAGCCATCATATTTTCCTACTAGTTTGGGAAAAAGAGTTTTTAAAAAAGTAAACTAATCTTTTTCTAATTTCTTTCACTAACACAGATAGCAACGCATCAAAAACAATTCAATTCCATATACAATGGCCAAAAATACAACCATTTCTTTGTAAAGCATCGACTTTTCCTATTTTTATAATTCTGTTTGATTTTTTTATAATAGCTATTAAAGCCTTCTGACCAAAGATGTAATACTTCATTTTCTTCACAAAGGAAGCTGCAAGCTAGGCACAATGTGCCAGTATGTATTCAGTAAGGGACCTGTTGCTGGAGTGAGGGCAGCTTTTCCACAGTTGTGCCCAGAATGTAAATGGGCTAGCAGATTCTGTCCTTGCTACTGCATACAGCTACCCACCCAGGAAGTTGAGCTCCAGGTGCCAGCAGTCAACATGGTACTGCTGTTGGTAGGAGAAAGAGGAAATCACCCATGCGGTACAGAGGGCAGCACGCCATGCAGAAAGAACTGGGGAGCAAACTGTGGGTGGAACCACACACGAAAGTTTCTGGGACCTTTTCAGGCCACAGTGAGATTATCTTTCTCTTGAATAGTTGCATGGGAGTTGCATGGAGTTGGGGTTTTGGGGAAGTGGGAACATGGGTGTTAAAGGGCATGAATAATAAGAGCAACATGTTTTACATGTAACATGCAACATGTGTAGTGATGGGGTATGTAAACTGGGCTACTGAATAATCATGACACAATGTGTTTGCACATCAGCTCATTGTGCTGTGCAGCTTGAATGCATGTAGTCTTTATTTACCAATTCAACACGCGAAGGTGATACCCTTCACCTTCAGTCATTCATCTGAGATGTGCTGGCTGGTCTCTGTCGGTGTCTCAGTAGGTGCCGGCCAGGACACAGTGTAGCTAGGGATTATTGCCTCTGCTTTCAGTGTAGACAGAGAGAGCTATTCTGCCTTGAATTTCATAATGACCTCCAATGCTCTTGTGTTGAAGGCTGATCCCTAAACAGCAGAGCATAGGTGAATGAATAAAGTGGAGAACGGGTGAATGAATGGATGAAGTGAATAAAGAGAGCACTAACTTCCTGGAGGGATTAAACCATCGATGGGCTCATGGGTGAAAGGGCTGTCAGGGGGTGTGGCTTCTCAGAGGAAGCATACCACCCTGTCACCGAGGGCATGAGGCATGCTTTTGATGATAATGTTTTGTTCTCAGACACTTTTACACTATCTCTGCTTCCTGGTTACCAGGAAGTGAGCCACCTGCTTCCATCACATGGACACCTGGTCTCTCTCACTCTGCAGAGGATGGGTTAGCCGTATCTAAAATCCCTCTTGTGCAGCCAGGATGCAGCTCAGAGGCTTTCCCTAGCATTCCATGGCTCTGGCTCAACTCCCTCACAACCAAAAATTAAAACACCCCTTCTAATGGCACCATGCTCACCATCACTGAAACTTGTATCTATTAGTGTATTTTACGCTGTGGACATATTTGTTGTGACTACCAACAAACAGAAAAATAAAACATATATTTTTTCAGAGAAAAAAAAAGAGACACTGTTAGAAACAACTCCAAATCACTGACCGTCAGGTTTATGAATACACATCATAGGAAATCAAATAGCTTTTAAAAATGCTTTTAACTAATTAAATAGAATGGCTTCTTGAAATGCCACTTATTAGCAATGCACAAATTTGCTGCTATAGCAATTTTAAAGAACTGCTTCTAATGCTCATGGTGGAAATTGAAGCAATATATATATATATATATATATATATATATATATATATATATAACTCTGCAGATACAAGTTGGGGAGACCTATGCTTCTAATCATATGATGTTTCACCCTAAAAGAGTCCTAAAATTGTAACATATAAAAGATTTTAATGTATACCTTTGCCTCCAAAATCATATCACCACTCAGCAATCAGCAAAATGGTGTTTCCATCCCCAATCATTCTCTGAACATTAGATATTGCTGCTAATGGCTAAGTGACCATTGACCCAGCTAGTAGAGGACAGGGCTGAGCAGCCCTTACAGACTATGTCAGGGAGCAGAAAAGGAACAGGTGCTGGAAAACAGTCAACAAGCACACCCCGAGGGCACCTGCCATTTCCCAGGTACTATGAAGGGCTGTGAGAGACCAGTGTTCCCCACTGGGAAGGGCACTCACCTGCCAGGACAGGTGCTCCTTGGCTCCTGGGGTCGCAGACAGGTAGACACTCAGTACTATGGTGTGGGATGAGGAGGTGAGGACGCTGGCAATGACGGCATCTCGCATGTTGAAGGGAAGCATGGTGTACACCACAAAGATGATAAAGAGGAAGAACGACACCTATAGAGAGAAGGAAAACATAGGTGTGTCAGAAAATCCCGGTTCCCTTGGCATGAAAGGAGGCAGAAAGCAACATGCTGCTCATCGCAGAAACATCATCACAAAAGAGGGTGGAACAGACTTGCTGAGTTACAACAGAGAACTAAGTCTAGCCTAGTGGGCAAAGCACTTGCCCTGGAAGTGTGAGTACCCGAGATCGAATCCCTGGAACCATGAAAATCTGGACATGGTAGCCACACAGTCCTACAGTGAGACAGGAAGTGGACCCTGGAAGGTACTTCAAAGCTTGCAGTCCAACTAGCCTGGTGTGGTGGGTGGAGACAAACAAGAGACTCTATATATCAAGGTGGAAGTTCAGAACCAAGGCTGGAGGTTGTTCTTTGTCCTTTACATTTGCCTAGTATGCACACAGCAATGCTTATACACAGACGAAAATGAGAAAAAGAAAAAAAATTAACTAGCCATTGCGATGTGCAAAAAAGATTTCTTGTAGGATGTGCCTTTTGCTCAATGTTGCTCTTGCTGGTTGTAGGTTTTAATTTGTGTATATTTACCTTTCCTTACCCTGGAACGTACTTGATAGTTGTTATCATTGTATATAGTTCTTGCATCTGGCTTAAAAACCTTCTTCATTAGGCTAAAAGGGGAACTGTAGCAGCATCTAGTCTTGTCAGTGTGTTTGTGTTAGTGGCCACACCCTTTTGGGCGTGGCTTCAGCGGGACAGAACCAGAAAGAGGAAACCATAAGGCAGGTGTGCACTCTCTCTCTGTCTCATCTCTGTCTCTGTCTCTCTCGCTCTCGCTCTGTTGGGTCTGGGATTGGATCTGAAGGGCAGAGAAAAGCCTGTGGCAGTTCTTTATTGTTCTGTGTAAGTTGAACCCCAATAAAACACCCATTTATCATTCATCTTGGGTCAGGTGAACTCTTTATACCCACGCCTTCAATTTCTTGTGCAGCACCTCAAATTTTAGGAAACAAGCTACTATATACATAAGATTGAGTTTAGCTGACTTGTGTGAATGAACAAAGCCAGTCCCTCATCCCTGGGACTTGGCATCGTTGCTTTATGATTAGCAAAGGTAGACACACAGGGCATGGATGCAGACAGTTCAGCTGCTGTGGGACAGTTTAGCACTTCCTGGCAAAAAGATTAAATATAGAATGACCATCGGATCCCACAGTTTCACTACTAGGCATGCTGAACAATCACTCGGAGAAACATATCTCACACATATTTATCATAGAGTTTGCCTGTCAATCAAAATATGGGGATACAGATATCCAGCAATGGATGGACACCACCTGTCACACCCATTCACTGGAATGTGATTCGGGAATAACATGGATTTAAGTCTTCATGCATGATGTAGTATGGATGAATTGCAAAGGCTCTGTATTGCATGATTCCATTTCTATAAACTATGCAAAATAAGTAAATCCATAGAGGTTAGAAGCAGATGTTGATAATCCAATTGGCAAGCTCTGTGAGCTGGCCTGTGGGATGGAAGAAGGTTAGTGATGGCCTAACAAGTATAGACTTCCTTGGGGGTAAAGGAAAAGGTCTTTGCCTTGGACACAGATGTTCTTTGCCCAATGCTGGGAATGTACTGAATGCCACCACATTCTCCTTTTAAAATGGCTAACTTATATTTTATGAATTTGACCTTTATAAAAAACAATCAATATGAAACCACTTAGAGAAACTTTTAGAATGGAAATCAAAGTGCTTACTTGGTAATAAAACAAGAACATTTTCATTGCAAAACAGCCAGAGATGGAAGGACATCAGAGAGAGCAAGCAGGTGATAACTATAGCAAGAGAGCCTGAGGTCTCCCTCAGGGGAGTGAGAGGCATGTGACCGCAGAATCCCATGCCATCTGAAGAGGACACAGAGGCCCAATCAGCTGGACAAACACGAACATATCACCCCAGCTGTTCTGGTGCAAGTTGTCTGTGAGTCCCCAAGTGTGACGTGATCACCAGGTTCTGCTCCCTGCGGACTCCAAGAGAGTGCAGCCCTGAGAGTGCTAGGCTCTGCCTTCTCCTGCCCATTCTGCACCACATTTATAACTGAAAGGCCCTGTGTAGCTCTGTGCCATGGCTCCAGGATGGCATCTTACCTACTGTCTTTGTTTTTACTGTCACAGTTGAAAGAACACACACAAGACGAGAGGTTTACAGCCTAAAAATAAACACGGATTCCTAAAACAGTCTTTCATTTCCTTCAGGGCATTCTAAGCAGGACAAGCATGCAGACACTCCTCAGAGGGGGCAGAAGCTCCCTGAGAGGGAGGAGAGGTGGCTCAATCATAGCTCTGAGCCGTTACAACTGAGTGGATGAGTCTGTCGTGCATGCCAGCTGTCTTCACGGCTGAGAGAAGGGCCACCCTCCCCACCCAGCCCCACTCTGAGGAGACAATGAAATGGCCTCTAAATCGTCTTCTCTATTTGCTGCAAGTTTTGTCATCATGAATGACAGCCAAGGAGAAAGCCACCGTGGGTGGGCAAAGTGACCAGAAGTCCTCGGGAAGCCTGAGTTTAGTGTGGGCCATCTGCTCCAAGCCCCCGCTTCCTCCCCTTCAAGCTATATTTATATGGGCTGTCAGGATAAAAAATGTGGGTGAGCAGATTAACATAGCAATACTTTTTCTAGCAAATATCTTTTTCTTTTGCCTCTTCAAAATAAAAGACTATGGAGATGGTCTTCAACAAGGCATTAGCAGTCATCATAACACACATTCTGGTTTTCCTATTCTGTCCAGGGAACGTGAAACCAAGGCAGAAACTTGATCTTAGGTAATTTACATATGAAGATGCAGAGTGTGGCAGAGACCCAGCACTACTTTCGGGAGCATTTCATGCGGTGGACAATGATCTGCTCAGACAGAAAGGGACTGATTCCCTCATGATCTCTTCTTGGTGACAGAACATGCAGAAAGTGTCAGGGAACCAACAGCTACCTTTCAAGTTCAATGATAACCTTAGCCAGCTCTTCCTGAGGGCTAACCTAGCACAAATGATTATTCCAAAGTTGAGGTAAGCAACTATACCAAATCAAGTTCAGGGTTCTAGTGTTGGTACTTCAAGAGCTCAGGCAGAGAGGCCAGGCCTGTGCAGCATCTACCGGTACGACTTGGCCGATGAAAGTCAAGGTCAAGTCTTCTGGAGGAACTGTCTTGACACCTTATTAATCTCAAAAGGTTCTCATATTGTTAAGTCTGTTTTATAACCCAACTTTAAAGAGCACCATATGTAAAACTTAAGTGGATCTGGCACATCTAAAAAACATGTGGGTAAAACGCTGCAGAAACTTCTTTTGAAATCTCTAGGGTTTCCATGTTACCATGGGGACATAAGATTCCTCTGAGCTGTACTCTTCTGTGTGACAAGAGACTAGAAATAAAAGCAAGACCATTGTCCTAAGGACTGTTAGCAGAAACGCGGCATCTGCAGTGGTCACGCTCATGTCAATAAAGAGGCCACAAGTATACATCTTCCCCGCAAGACACACACATCTTCCTACCCATCTACTTGACCCCTGAACTCCACAAGTATCTAGACATCGGAGCTTTTCTCTGTACTCACTGACCTGTTCTGCGTGAAGGCAACTCACTTCATCTGGTGATGGCCCAGTCTCCAATCACTCAGGCTACACCACCAAAGCTTATCCTTAGCCAAGCTGTCTCCTGGTTTGGGACTTCATACTACATTCCTGGTGTCTGTCTATTGTTCTGCCCTTACAGCTATGACACCATCTCAGGGCATTTCCGTCTGGCAAGAATCTGCCATCTGAACAAGGATAGCAGATACATAGGTAGATAGCTAACAGGTAATAGGTGATAGATATATGGATAGATAGTTAGATAGATAGACAGATAGATGATCGATACATGATAGATCATGATGATGATAGAGATAGATGATAGATGCACATAGAAGTATATGCAATGGGCATCTGGTTCATCTTCCTACCATTAATCATTTCTTCTCAGTCGGTGGGGGCGGGGGTGTTCCAAAGCTATCTTTGAAGCATAAACATAAATAGTGTGGCTTCTCTGGGTAGAAAAAAAATGCATCATTTGTCATGTCCCCCTTTCTCCCTAACAGTCATGGAGTGAGACATATGTCAGGAAGTGAGGACAGAAGACCTCAGGTGACCCATAGTTATGTAAGTAATTGATGTACATTTGTCGTGTTTAGCTCCCAAGTCAGCATGGCTCAGCTGGTCTCAACCTGTACCAAGGCCATATAGCCCCCATTCTGTCTTGTTAATGTTATGCTTGTAAAAGTGTATTGTTTCTGTATACACTTCTGATCAGTTTGCTTTTTGAAAACTTAAATATTCCTTGTGGCATGAGTCTATAGATGTGAATCCATTACTTTGACTAGTTCAAAGCATTCTATAGTAATAAGTGCATTGCCATTTATAGCACGCTTTCCCTTGGTATGTGTGGATTTTTCCCAGCAAGACAAGTGCCCACGAGATAACTTTAATATGTGTCCCCTGATCAACCTTGCTTCAACATTCTACTTTCTCTTATCCAGATAACCCTGCAAGGTTTGCGCTTCTGAGTGTAAAGACCTGAGGCTTTTCTTCCTTGGATGATGTCCTCCTTTGGTCCTCCCTAAGAACTCTGCATGACATGTCAAGTCCTTGCCTTCCACACCCCTAGTCCTCTTCACCAACTTTACTTAGCATGTTTATTGTTCTTATTTATCTATTGATGCTGTCCCATATAGTGAAGAATAATGACCCTTTAAGAGCAAAGCCTTGATTTACTCAGAGCCAAGATGGCAGTGCCAAGGGCTGCCCCTGACATGGTAGTTTCTACACAAATTGTTGTCTTCACAAAAAAGTCTCTTATACATACCAGTGTAACACCCAGCAGCACTGACTCACAAATGTATCTCTAAAACATTTTTGCTGTCCACTTTGACCTAATTGGCCTCACCATTAACTGTAAACACGTTGATTCCTGAATTCACATTTTTCTATTT